AAGATATTTATTATGGTTATATCTTTGTGTTCAATTGATCCTTTAATCATTACATAATGTCCTTCCTTGTTTCATGTAGTGGTTTTTGTCTTAAAGTCAATTTGATCAGAAATTAATATTGCCACTCCTACTCTCTTACAGTTGCCATTTGTTTGATATATCTTTTTTCAACCTTTGATTTTTAGTCTATTTTTGTTTTTGTCTCTAAGGTGTGTCTCTGTACACAGCATATTGATGAGTTTTGTTTTCTTATCCAATCTGCAACTCTCCGTCTCTTGAGTGGTGCATTTAATCCATTAACATTCAGTGTAATTATCAATAAGTATGAATTGGTTGCTGTTATTTTGTCATGGGTTTTTTTTTTTTTTTTCCATGGTGTCCCTGGTTTCTTTGTTCCATATCATTTTCTGTTCTGAGCTCATGTTTATGGATCATGTTATCATTTCCTTTGTTGCTGTTGTTTTAGTATTGCTGAGTATTTGTTTTTGTCCTCTTTTTTATTATGATGTAAAGGTTTATCATTTTTCTTTGAGGTTACCCTGCAATTTAAAATTTTCTCCCTGAGTTTATAACAGTCCATTCTATTTTGCAACTCTCTTGACTTCCTCACCATTTAGAAGTTCTGTAACTACAGAGTATTTTCCCTCTTTTTGGTTTGTAGTTGTCCTCACTTGCCAATTGATGTTTCTGGTTCCCTGTTTACAATCTTGTAAGCTTGTTTTCCTTTGGATATGTCCATAGCTATGGTTTCTGGGCTATGTCATCTTGTGTATTAATCGTCGGCTGTTGTTTCCTATTTTTGGTTCTCTGTTCAAAGGACTCCATTTAATATCTCTTGTAAAGTTAGTCTGGTTTTAACAAATTCCCTTAGTTTCTGCTTATCTGGAAATCTAATCTCACCATCATATTTGAGGGACAATTTTGCTGGGTATATAATTCTTGGTTGAAAAATTTTCTCTTTCAGGGTTTTATATATATCATCCCATTGCCTTCTCCCTTGCATGGTTTCTGCTGAGAAATCAGAGCTTATTCTTACTGATTGTCCTTTGTAAGTAACCTTTTGTTTTTCCTAT